CCCGTATCCGGAACATCGCAATCGCATGCTAAGTGCCGACGAGATCAAAGCATTCCTACGAATAAATCGCCACCTGCCATACAAGCACCACTATCGGCTCCTGTGCCTTCCGGACTATGCCGTCGAGCGACCTGTTGTCCCGAAAGGGAGTTTGGTTCTCACCGAAATGTCCGACGCTGACTGTGTGCTCAAATTCCGGTTTGACCTGAATGGCTTGATGGAGCTTTCCTCCCTTTTGCTTTTACCGAACGTCATTGTGAGACAGAAACGGGCGACCGATATCTTGGGGTGGAAGCTTTGTGTGTGTCCAGAAGGCGGTCCTTGCTCGTCTCCTCCTCCACAACACCAGACAAGCAGGCCGCAGTCGCATTGCGCGCCCTGTGCTGCCGAAGAAGCAGGATATGGTTCTGGGCCTCCTTTCCATCTATGCTACGCTTTGAAAAATCGTCAACACCCCGTAACGTCGCCGCCAAGGACTCCCAGGCCTTTGTCGGTTGTCTCTTCATGAATGGGCGCTCGTTGTTGACCTGAGTCAACAGCATCACGTCGTCGTCTTCGGCCCATCACTTCTTCTCTTGCACCTCCCGTGCGTCGTCCGTCGTGTCCGTCATTTCGCTTGACTGGAAAATAGCACTGTATCCGGACTCGGCAGGTCCAAGGCTTGCCGCCAATTCTGCCAATTTTGCGGCTTGCACGTATAAATTTCCCGAGTTGCCGCCAAAGTATAAAAATATATGGGTAAAAAATACGGATAGGGTACGGCAAGCATCTCCGAAATCTGCTATTTTAAAACGTAGCAGATTGTCAAAAACGACATTTAAAATATTAGGTGTTTCTGCAGTCTATACTGGGAAACGTGGAAACCCTTCACCCGTGGAATCGGCCATACTTCTGGAATATTAATATTGTGGACGTCCAAATCATCCTCCATAAAAAAATTGTTTTGGCCAATCGATGACAATGTTATCCACGTCCAAGAACATGAAATGATGTAACTTGATAAGTTGTCGTCCAACAACAGCCAAACACATTATTACAGTGTACTTGTACGGTATGATGGACACATTTCGAACAAGATTTGGCTAATTAATCTTAATTGCTACACCAACAAGATGCCAGTTTACAATAAAAGGAGTTTAATTGATCAATTGAGTTGTAAAATCGCATCATCGTACAAACTTACTAGTAAATATCAAATGAACTTGTCTGATTCGAGAGCATTTGTCACGCCGGAAATATATTTCATTTTAGATGTTGCCGAGTCGTGCTCACATGCCTTCAGCAGCACAACGAGCCCGACAACGAAGCGCAATAGCGCACGTGAACTAACAGGTACCTGTGCCGCCACATGAGCCTGTTGCTTCGCTGCCACCCGTCCTTGTGGCGCCGCAGGAAGCTGTCACGTTACGATGCTCCAAACGCCTTCGAAAGAAGTGATTGAAGAACAATACCGATCAGTACGAACACGAAAAGCCTACGCAACTAAGCAGAAGCAATTTTTCAACTTTTGCCGCAACTGCCAGGATGTATTGACCCTGCCGCTGCTGAAACATCGGACTGCACTGCGATAATTTACTTCATGGTAACGCAAGGTCACCGCGCGAAGAAAATTGCCTTGGCGAAGGCCGCCTTGGTGGCATACTTCAAGGGTGCTGGCATCGGGCCAAATCCTGCTCGGACTGCCAAGTCCTGAGAGTTCGTCGTTGGCTTTCACAAGTAATTCAAGCAGACAATTTGGATGACGAAAAGAAGGGGCACCCTGTTACCGTGCACGAGCTCACCATCGTCATGAACTCATTTGATCAACTCACGACCCGTGAGTTGACCCGTTCGTTGGCTCCATGCTCCGTTTCTTGTTCTCCACAATCTTCATCGGAGGTTTTCGCATCAACAAGATGCTGAACTTGACGCGGAAATGTTGAGCAGAATTGTAATCAACCCGGTGAGTACGTGTCCATCAGGCTGCGTTGGCACAAGAAAGCAAGTCTTGAAGTCGATTGCCAAATCTACCAATTGGTGAATGAAGATGCTTATCCTTGTCCGCATGCGCATTCTCTGTTTGCCGATTATGTACGTCGACGCAATGATTGTCGCATGCAAGTCCAAGTAAATGCCTATGTCGTTACCCGTGCATATGTTGCAAAGGCATGGTTAGTGTCGACTGGAACAAGGGACTGGACCAAAATGTTGAGACAATCTGGTCGTCAAATATTTGGCCAACCAATCATTTTGCATACCTGCATCTAGTCATCTATAATCTGCCCTTTCTACATGTTGACGATGCTATTCAGACCAGATTTGAGAAGAACAAGCACGGTAAACTTCAAGGAACTTAGGAACCTAGTTTATCCACTAGCCTAAACTCCTAATACATTCTTACTTTCCAATTTCCCATCAACTGGGTACGAGCCCAAGAGCTCCTTCCAGCGCCTCCTCCGCACACCGCCGCCCGAGCCGCCCCGCCCCC